CCCCCTGATTGGCCCTGCTCTGTTCATGACAGGGGGTGGCACCGCAACCTCCCCATCGACCCTGCCTTGAGTGTGACAGGGGACGGTGCCCCACCCCCCCAATCGGCCCTCCCCTGAGCATGACTGAGGGTGGCATCAAACCCTCCCGATCGCCCTGCTCTGTGCATGACAGGGGGTCGAGCCCCAACTCCCCAATCGGCCCTGCTCTGAGCCCGACCAGGGTCTGCACCTAGGGATTGGGCCTAACCTCTGCCACCCTTTGGAGCAGGCCTAAGCCAGCAGGGCGTTATCTCCCGAGGGGTCCCAGACTGCTAGAGGGCACAGGCTGGGCTGAGGGACCCCCCCTCCCCCAAAAGTGCACAAATTTTTGTGCACCGGGCCTCTAGTCGTAATATATAAAAGGCCAGGGTTGTAACGACCAATCACGACAGAAGGCTGACCAACCTGGAAGTCCTTCAGGAAGTCCTTCATCAGAGCTGGGTTGCTGTGGCAACCCAGCATTGACTGCCCCACCACAGCCTGGCAATCCAGCACTGACTGCCCCGGCTGCAGCCTGGCAACCCAGCACAGACTGACCTGGGTGCTAAGACCCAGAGAGAGAGGCAGGGTCTGATTTGCAGCCTCAGTGGCAGTTGTTGATCAGCACTTGCCTCTCTCTCTCTCTCTCCCTCTTTCTTTTTGAGCTTCCCCAGCAACTGGGCCTTTCTTTCTCTCCTGGTCTCCATGGGGGCTGCTGTTCAGCCCTACCTCTCTGATCAGACCCAGAGATAGGCCCAGAGATGCTGACTGACATAGGAACTGACCAATCAGAAGCAAATGTGGGTGCTGTGACAGACCAATGGCTGCCTAGGAGGCGGAGCTTGTGATGCTGACTGGCATAGACATCGACCAATCAGAACCAAATCTGGGTGCTGTGGAGAGCCAATGGCTGCCTAGGAGGCAGAGATTTTGAGGCTGCCTCCCTGCAGGGGAAGGCAGTTGGGGGTGAGATCAGGCCAGCAGGGCAGGGCAGTTGGGGGCGAGATCAGGCCGGCCGGGGAGGGCAGTTGGGAGTGATCAGGCAGGCAGGCAGGTGAGCAGTTAGGAGCCAGTGGTCCCAGATTGCAAGAGGGATGTCTGACTGCCAGTTTAGAACAGGGATCGGGCCTAAACCGGCAGTTGGACATCCCACAAGGGTTCCCCAATTGGAGAGGGTGCAGGCTGGGCTGAGGGAACCCCCCTCTCCCATGCACGAATATTGTGCACTGGGCCTCTAGTATATGAATAAGTACATCAAAAACACCTTTTCCACAAGATTAATGAACTTTGTGTAACAGCATTTGCCTTTGGAAGAAATACTTTCTTGTGTCTCGGCAAGGGTCCTGAACTGGGTAGCTAACAACTTAACAGTCTGACTGCTAACATGTATAAGGTGTGGCACATGCATATTTAAAATTCCTATCTTCTGCATTGACAAGCCACTGAGCACTAGAGATGGGAAGACACATTTCCATTGAAGCTGAGCCGAAAACACTTTTTGAAACAATCCTGATAAAATAGTGACATAAATGCAAAAATCCAGAGAGAGTTCCTGGATTTCTTTGAAACCTCCTCATATGACAGCAGTGTCAGACAGAGATGCTATGCACAGCTTCTAATATTATTTGGAGCTAGATATTCTCAGTTCCATTTTTGAATTGGATGAACTGTGCTGCCTGGGTCCATACTAGATATGCTTTTTATGGTCACTTGGAGTAATATAAATCTCTCCTAATGCAGCTTAATATCCAGAAGTTATGTATTTTCTTGGTATGATTGTAAGGCCCTTGATATAAAAGAACCACACAGTTATATGCTTTAAAGTAACCCAATAGGTAAAAATACCAAAATGTAGAAGATGGATTTGGGTGATATAAGTCTGTGGTACATTTTTTATGCACATAGGGATATCACTTCTAAAGATTTTTATAACTGAGATCCCTGAGTCAATTTAAAACTTGCTTCTGTACCACTGGGGATAGAAAGCTCTATTAAATGCTTCAGATTCCTTTCATGTTGTCTTTTCTCTCTGAGTACCTTGGGGTTTGGTCAGCTATGGCTGGGTCTTTGTCACCTCCTCTGTGACATGAATGGCCTACATTAGATGACTGCTGGGTGACTTTCACCTCCAAAATTCAGTGCTCTTACTAAATTCTAGGCATTTTTTAAAAAAAGATCTGGTCAATACTCTTCCTGGCTGTTCTGAATCCTTCTCAAGTAAGTTTATTCCTGCTTCTCGCTTATTGTGGGTGCATATTTGAAACTTACTTCTTTACAAAACAAAAATGTAATCGATGGGATGCTGCAATGGTATTGTTTAAATGACATGACCAGATGTGACAATAAGAACGATTTGCATTTATAAAAATAATTTCAGCTGTACATCAGTATAGTCTATCACTTGGTGTGATTTTCCTTGTTTTTCATTTTTATTTTTAAAAACATTAAATAAAAATAGCCACCACCTACAGTGGTGTATTTTATTTGAAATGTCAAAAATGTTTTTAATATCATTTTGTAATATATTGAAAATCTAGAAGTCAGGCTCTGTCTCAGGTAAGTAGAACTTTGTAGTTATGAGGGAGAAAGGTAGAAATGTGCAGGATGGCTGTTACCTCTTCTGCTGTACTTCAGTGGTGTATATGTAATCACGTGCTTTCTTTAATGTGAGACTCTTGTGGGGTTCAACTAAGTTCTGTCTTTTAGATGATCTGTCTGAAGTTTATTGGTTCTAGATTGTAGTCAAAATAAAAGAAATTTGTCACATTTAAAGTCTGGATTCAGCCCAAGTGGTTCAGAACATGACATGACGTGATAATGGAAATTTTCTTTATCCCAAGGATCTAAATGGCAAGAGATGAACATCTAGAGATTAGGGATCTAAAAGTGATGTTTAAGATTCTTGTGATTTAGAGCAGTCAATATTAAGCCTCTGTTGGCAGATTTTCTTAGCTAAATCTTCAGTCTACGTGGAGGAGGTGGTGCAGGAAACCAAGATGTTGGTGAGACAGTGGGGGGGCTTATGGGAAACATGAAAGACGCATTTACTTTCCTCAGAGTGAATCTTGTGCTTTGTATGTGTGCTCTTTCCAGAATCCATGAAAGAAGTTTCCACAATGGTTTGTTCAGCTCTCAGAAGAGTTGCCCACGTGCGTGTCTACCTGGTGAGGACGGCAAGTAGTGTCTCCAGAGGCCACCAGCATCCGGCCTTGGGCTCAAGGCCTGCTACTTCAGAGTCTGCTGCCCGAGGAGCTCTAGGTAGTGTGGTGGAGCTGTTGGGCAAGTCCTACCCTCAGGATGACTACAGCAATCTCTCCCAGAAAGTCCTCTCCAGAGTTGGCAGAAATCTGCACAACCAGCAGCATCACCCTCTTTGGTTGATCAAGGAGAGGGTGAAGGAGCACTTCTATAAGCAATATGTGGGCCGCTTTGGGACTCCGCTGTTCTCAGTCTATGACAACTTTTCTCCGGTGGTCACAACCTGGCAGAACTTTGATAGCCTGCTCATCCCAGCTGATCACCCCAGCAGGAAGAAGGGAGACAACTATTACCTGAATCGGACTCACATGCTCCGAGCGCACACCTCTGCGCACCAGTGGGACCTGTTGCATGCTGGGCTGGATGCCTTCCTGGTGGTGGGTGATGTTTATAGGCGTGACCAAATCGACTCCCAGCATTACCCAGTTTTCCACCAGTTGGAGGCCGTGCGGCTCTTCTCCAAGCACCAGGTGAGTCTTGAGAGTTTTCATGGTTGAAGGCATGCATAGTCTTGTTGAGGTCACTACAGTTTATCGCAATGAAACCAGAACAGTTGTTCTTTGCAATTGTGAATCACCCAACCTTGATGACATCCTTTGTATAGGCTGGGTGTCGATATTTTTTGACTGACTTGTTGTGTAACTACAGATATTGGTAGGCTTTTGTTTTCTCTTGTCTGTCCTTTTCCTTTCAATACTGATCTGCTTTTCTCTGAGTTTCTTCTAAAGAATGAGTAGCCAGTGGCTCACATTTACTCTCCATCCAAGGTGGGTAAACATGCAGCACTGAAACCTGTGGTAAATTTATGCTACTTTAATGCGTTTCTTATCCTACCGTAGAGGGGACTGGCGATTTATTGGTTTAGATTGTAAACTGTTCTTGTTCCCATGTTCTTTCCTTAACCTCCCCTGCTTTACAATTGTGGACGCTTTACATTGTTTTCTTTGTGAGATGTCTTAATTGTTGCTACTCTTGAAGTATATGTTTGGATGCATTGAGCTGTTTTGATGAGGAAAATCTGATATTCTTTATTTTTCTTTTAATATATTTTTATTGATTTCAGAGAGGAAGGGAGAGGGAGAAAGAGAGATAGAAACATCAATGATGAGAATCATTGATCGGCTGTCTCCTGCATGCCCCCTACTGGGGATTGAACGCGCAACCCTGGCATGTGTCCCTGGGACTCTTCAGTTGGCAGGCCAATGCTCTATCCACTGAGCCAAACCAGCCAGGGCAGAAAATCTGATATTCTGATCATTCTCAAAAGACCCAACTTATTTCAGCTATTAGCATATATCTTAATGTATTGTGTGTATTGTATACATCTTCCTTTCTTTTTTTCTCCTTTTTTTTTTGCAATTTATGAAAATACCTAAAAGCTTGAGTCTATTTCCTATACTATTTGCAATACTATTTGTCTTTTATTCATATATTTTTAAACAATCTCTGTTTTTCTTAAGAAACAAATGGAATTAAATGAGACACAGGAAATATTTTTATTACTGCTTTAGCACTTCTTCCAAACACATTAATTGAAACAAGAGGAATAATTATTTTCATAAAACTCCCTCTTGCCCACACACGCTAAATGGGTTGTTGGATATGAAAAGGAATAATGTAAGACCCTTAGGCTAATAGTGACCATTGCTCTGTTGTATTAAGCATCATGTTGTAGGACACAGCTGTTTGCTTCAGGATGAGCAATTTCATGTGAATATCTGCTATTATGACAACAGGTTACTTTTACTAGCATACAAAAAGGCTATCCAAGCTTGGTCTCAGAGCCCCTTGATTAACATTCTTACTGCTTAGAATTGCTGCTTTCTAAGTTAGGAATAATAACTATTTTTTAAAAATATGCTTTATTGATTTTTTACTGAGAGGAAGGGAGAGGGATAGAGAGTTAGAAACATCCATGTGAGAGAAATATCAATCAGCTGCCTCCTGCACACCCCCTACTGGGGGTGTGCCCACAACCAAGGTACATTCTCTAGACCGGAATCGAACCTGGGACCCTTCAGTCCGCAGGTTGACGCTCTGTCCACTGAGCCAAACCGGTGAGGGCAGGAATAATAACTATTAATAAGGATATAGATTTATTATGAAATGAAAAGGAAATTAACAAAGACAGATCAAAATCTGGGAAATATGATCAAATGATGGAACGTCGCCTATAATTACTGCGCTAGAGGAGATGTGATGCCAGTAATATGATGTCTAAGTCACGGCCATGGGCAGGTACTCAGCCCAGCCTACCTCATTAGAGAAATAAAAAAGGGGAGTGCTCTGATTTGTAAGCCTGCAGGCCGTGCAAGTGACAGTGGAAGCTGCAGGACTTACACTAGCATTTTAATGGAGGAGAAATCAAGGCTGCTTTAGAAGGTGGAAAATAGGAAGAGTAGTAGGAAGTTAATTCTTATCTTGTGCCACATTTGTTTTGGGTCCAGTCCAACTTAGTGTGTAGTCGGCATGGCTAAGGTAACCTGATGCTACTGTGCATTCTGTCTTATAGTTTAAAAAAACACACACTCATATATATGTATGTATCTAAGTTATACTTTAATAAAGTACTTCCATGTTCGTTGTTTCATTTACTCTTGTTAATAATAACCTTGTGAGATAGAATATTTCCACTTCAACTACGAGGAATCTGAAATTCTGGAGAATTCAATGACTTGCCCAAGGTTACCCAACCCATTGGTTGCAGAGCTAAAACTTAACTCAGTTCATTGCCCATTCTACTGTATTCTGTTGCTTTTTATGGATCTGCTTTGTGAGTGGGACCTGCTTATCACCTAAGTAATGCTTCAGATCCAAGAATGGTGTGGGAGAGAGAGGGGTGGTGGTTTTTTAATTCCTGGCCATAACGAAAGCGTTGGTTCTAAGTCTGACCTAACCTTATTAGATAGAAAACTTTATTACATAGAAATTTGGTAGACCCCATTTAAATCATACGACCACAGTTAACATTAATAAAGCAAAATGGATAGGATGTAGTTTAAAATGTACTTGCAGTATATTTAGTTTTTGTCTCAGGAGGCAGCATGGACGGCCTAGTGGTTAAAATTTATACGTGGCCCTGACCGGTTTGGCTCAGTGGATAGAGCGTCGGCCTGAGGACTGAAGGGTCCCGGGTTCAATTCTTATCAAGGACATGTACCTCGGTTGCAGGCACATCCCCAGTAGGGGTGTGCAGGAGGCAGCTGATCGATGTTTCTCTCTCATGGATGTTTCTAACTCTCTATTCCTCTCCCTTCCTCTCTGTAAAAAATCATTAAAATATATTTAAAAAATAAAAAAAAATTTACTTGCAGTATATTTAGTTTTAAATATATTTATCTAAAATTTTTAAAAACTCTAGAAGGTAATGAATTAAGTGTTCAATTTAAGATGCTAAAAGCAGGCAGCATTGTTCTAAAAAAGTACAAGGGAGGTGGGCTGTAAAGTTTTTAATAATCCCAAATCTTACAAAACAGATGTAGCCTCTGGAATAGCAAAACCCCAAACCACAGGCAAAATCTATAGGACAACTGGGTAACAAGGTCTTCCTAGTATCTTTTCTTTTTCTTTATTTTTTTTGATCGTTACCTGACATATTAGAGAGCATGGGAGAGAGAGAGAAAGAAACATTGATGTGAGAGATAAACATCAATCAGTTGCCTTTTGTACACACCCGGATTAGAAATCGAATCCACAGCTTGGGTATGTGTCCTGACTAGGAGTTGAACCTGCGACCTTTCTGTATACAAGACGATGCTCCAACCAACTGAGCCACCCGACCAGAGCTTCCTAATGTCTTCCCAAATGGGTAGGAACTCACAACTGACAGCTAGAAGATCTGCATTGAGTCAGAAACTGAGGTAGCAGAGGAAAGCAGTGGGCCTGGGAAGAGGAGAGCTTCCTTAGAGTTTCTCAGGGAACAAACTTTGGACCGCCAAATTTACTAGAGGCTTTGACATTAACTACTAGTAATAAAGTGTTCACTGATGACCATTAACTCACAGAAAGTGGGGCAGCCAGATTTACATCTCTGGATAGAAAAATAGAATGCTAATTGTAAAGTCTTGCCAGGAAATTTAGAATTCAATCTGATTAAAATTTAGATCTAACTACCAAATTTATAGGAAGTATAGAGGACAAAGAAACATGTTAAACTACACCATGGAAATGTAATAAAGCAAAATCCAGCCTGTGGGAAATTTTATAGCACTGCTAACCAAGAGGTGATCTGCACAATGAAATAAATAGAAGAATCAAAAGTAAGCACTTAAAAATGTGTAAGCAATGTTTAGTGTTTAGAAATGTTTAAGCCAACATACTTAAGCACATTATTAATGGGTTTCTTTTGTTGAATAGCATATGAACTGGTCCAGGTATTCTTAATGCTTCTGATAAGTTGCATGTGCTCAGTCTGTTTAGTAGAACTAATATGTGCAGTAGGACCTCTATCAGTTCAAGATAGACTGGAAATCTAAAACTGTCCCTTCATCATAGTTTGAGAAGCAGTGCTCTACAGGATAAATGATTCCATTGCTTCAAATAAATGTAAAAAAACCCAAAAGTATGGACAGAATCACCATGTGTAGATCCCACCAAATAAGACATCTTTAAAGAAAAAAAAAGTTGAGACCATTGGAAATTGAACACTAACTGAATATTTGAATTTAAGTAGTTCTTTTTTTTATTTTCATTTTTAAAGGTCTGATAATGGTATTTTATTTTTATAAAGTCACTTTATTATAGAGATACATATTGAACTACCTGTGAATGTAATATTCAGATGTCTGGGGTTTTCAAAATAATATTCAAAATAATATGGAAATAGGCATTTGGGGATGAGGTTGCTCATGAATTATTAATTATTGAATCTGGGTGTTGAGTACATGAGGAATCATTATCCTTTCTATTTTTGCATCTGTTTGAAAATTTCCTAGTAAAGGGCCAAATAAAAGGATTGAAGGAAAACATTGGGATCAGTTAGTAAAAAAAAAAAGTATGATGAATAGGAACTGGGCCCAGGAATGTAAGAAGGTATCAAACAGCCATGAGATGATCCATGGTTTCTTGGGGAGGATAACTATTAAGATTAAATAAACAAAAACCAGGAGGCAGGAAATCTATATATATAAAAGCCCAGCGACCATATGGGGAATGACCATTGGCTATGATGCGCACAGAGGCAGCCAACCGGCCTGATCCAGGGCCCAATCGGCACCCCCTAGCTGGGCCCACCTCCGATCGTCCCCACCCCCCCACCTGCTGGTCGCAGACAGGGAACATGTGGCTGAGCTGAAGGCAACCCTTCTGAGGGGAGATGCACGCCAGGTCTACAGAAGGTATACAGAAGACGCTCAGCGAGGAGTCCACATGGGTTGTGTTGGCACCTTCATGCTGTCCCCCCACCACCACAACGTGGAAGGAAGCCTGATTTAGGAACCCTTTGCTGCCCACCCACATGGAGAAACAGCGT